TGCTCTAGAGAGGAAACAAAGCAGTAGACAGCGTTGGTACTAACCAGGCTTTAAAAATCGGCAAAAAAAGTGAGCGCTTTACAGCGGAAACAACGCCGTAGACGGCTTTGGGATTACCTAGGTTCTAGAAAGTGCCTACGACCGAATGACTACTTAGCCCTAAAAAGCCTCTAGAAAGAGTCAAACCTAGAAAGAGAAATGAGAAGGCAGGAGAGAAAGGAACGAAACCGAGGGGTAGGGTCGGCAAAACGAGCCTCAAGAGCAACCTAACAAGCCTGAAAGCGCACCTAACGCGTGAAGAAAGACGCAAGAGAGAAAAAGAGGGGCGGGGGTGGGGTTGGGAGCGGAAATCGAATTGGACTGCAGCGGTGAATTTGTGGATGGAAAATTTAGCAAACGCATGAAACATCGCAAGCTGCATGAACGGTAAGAAATGGATTTCAGTAAACATTGCCGTAGGCTCGGCAGTGTTGGGGTCAGTTTGAGCCATGAACATCAGCTGAGCAGAAAGTCGCAAACCGGTGCATATCGGCTTCGGCCCCCCTTGCGGGGATCACGCTGCACACCCAAGTGGGAAGATGCAGCAGGTCACACTTAGACTCAAAGTTCCGGTGAAGGAACATCAGTTTGAGTGGTGTTCAGGAATGCGTTAGACCTTTAAGTGACCACTTAGCACTTGACTTGCAGAATGGCATGGCGATGGGTCAGGAACAGGTCTTGTTTTTGAACACAGGCATTAGCCCTTTACCACGCATTAGCCCTTTAAACTGAATTAAACCATGAGTTTTTTTGGGGCAACATCAGGTACTTCAACCACCATGAAACAAACCAAGGGGCCACAACAACCAAGCAACAGTTAAAGCAGGTGGATGATGAGTCCACCCTTCCCTCGTCATACCGTAGTTTCACTGCGTACGGTGGGTGTGACGAGCCGTACGCCGCTGCTGAACAAGTTTCCAATGATCAAGGTCCCTCTCGGAACGGGGTGTGGCACACACACACAAACACAAGTTTCATACCGGTGCCCTTTGTGGCCAGAAGGACAGTGCCTTCAGCGGAATCAAAACCAGTAAACACCCTCCTGCATATCGGGGCCCTTGGAAGATGCAAACATTTTTTCACTTCCAACTCGACAAAATTGGAGTAGCAAAATTTTTGATAGACAGGAAACACATACAACACACAATAACAACACCCAGAACACATGCAATACTTTTCAACACAATCAACACACCAAAAAACACGACAGCAAACCAAAAAAGTAGTGACACCCACATACACACACAACGACAACACCCAACGTATTCACAACACATTGTGGCCCGATCCAGTCATGCTACTAGTGTACCTTGGCAGGTTCGGGAAGATCGTTCCAAGCAAAACAAAACCTCTAGTTTTCGATTCTTGACCGCTGAGCCCGAGTGTTACCGAGTGGTTCTAAAATATTTCTTGTTTATTTTGGCCCTGCTTCCTTAATTAAGTAGGCGCCTATTTGATTAAGTAAGGCAGGGCGACTAGCTCGCTCCTAGGAGCAGGATGCAGGATAGCTCACGTTTTCTTGAAGAAGCGCACTAATGATTTGGTTCCTAATTATTGAGGGAACCGTAACCTTTAGACCTTGTTGGTGTTAGCCCCAGACCTTGTTTCCCAGGAGGATTTGGCACCTGAGGGTCCAGCGGGACAGCTGTTGCAGCAGTTGGGATCCGATCCAGGCGGGCATCGATGGAAGACCGCATTGATTGCAATAGCGATGGCCTCCAACCTAATAGCAGCGGCCTCCAACCTACTTTGCAGGGCAGTTGACTGCAGCGCTTCTCTTTTTTCTATATGTATGTGTACATGTACACAGGTGCTTGTGACATCTTGTGACTACCCATTGTCAAAGGACAAACTCAGGGAGTCAATCATTTCTTTTTTAAGGAGCAGGTGTTTGTCCATGAAATCGAGTGGAAGAAAAAGACTATATAACATTTCCTCCACAAAGAGCTGTGCCAGGCTCCACAAGAACTATCAAAGTCATCCACTTGCGACAACGCCCGCAAAACAGGATCGCAATTTAGATCACAACTTCCAAAACAGTCACCAACCTAAAATGATCAAAACCATCTCCAAAGCACCCAACCTGAAGAAACTGACCCAGTGCCAGGATGAAAGGTCCTTTGTCACGAACTTCAAGACTCAATCCCTGAGAACCCTCTCTCTCTCTCTCTGTCTGTCTCTCTCTCTCTGTCTGCTCACTCTCCAAGGCCTCACCGAGACCAAGGTCGTGCCTTTGATGGCCTTGGCCGCCCCAGCCACCATGGTGCGCCTGGTGCAGGGCATTCCGGTGCCTGGGCCGATGTGGCGGGAGCCGGTGGAGCGTGATTTGTTCCTAGTTTCCTATTCCTAGTAGTAAGGCCAGGAGCCCCTAGTAGCGTCCTCAGGCCAGCCACCCCTAGTCGCGTCCTTGCTCCTAGCAGTAAGTCCTTATTCCTAG